AGGTAATAGCTATAAAAATTATCCAAGTATTTATTAACTATCCTGCAAGGATATTTTACATCTACAGTGGGTGTCATCTGCATAGAAGTGTACCTTGCAGTGATTTAAATAATTAATGATATTAAAGGAAAGAAGAGCAAACAGGATCGATCCAAATATAGAGCCTTGTAGTACTCCTCGCTAAAGGGACAGAAGTGATGAAAAGTTCCATCAAACGTAACTCTATGATTGCTTTCATTGATATAGTTGGCAGCAAGGTAATATCTATGAAAATTATTCAAGTCTTTATTGACTATCCTGCAAGGATAATTTACATCTTAAGGGGGTGTCATCGTAGTGGATTAAGTACTATATATGAGTGACGGGTTGGCTGTCCTTGTTCACCTTTTACTGTGCCTGCTATTTTTGCGGGTGAATTGGCTTAAGATGTGGGAGTTGAGCAAACCGGCCATCGGATGCATGATTCCACGTAGCCCCNGTTCCATCAAACGTAACTCTATAATTTCTTTCATTGAGATAGTTGGCAAGCAAGGTATAATAGCTGAAGTTGACAGACCAACGTAATGTAAAATTGATATTGATGAATCATGGTTTATAGGGTCTAAGACTGCCGAAGTCGAGCATAGCTGTACAATGTCCTCTATTTGGACCTCTGACAATATCATCAACTTTTTTTCCTGATTGATTCCGCTGTTACTTGATGAAGATCCATAGTAGTTTCATAAACTACACCTTTGATGTCCACAAACTTCATTTAAAGAAATATATCACGAAATGTTTCGCTAACACACTAGCTTTTTCGTGGTGGATTAAGTACTATATATGAGTGACGGGTTGGCTGTCCTTGTTGACCTTTTACTGTGCCTGCTATTTTTGCGGGTGAATTGGCTTAAGATGTGGGAGTTGAGCAAACCGGCCATCGGATGCATGATTCCACGTAGCCCCGCTGGATACGAGAATGACAGAATCATTTGTGGTTCTGTTATTCCATAACTGAATGGCATCCCAACGATAGCTTAATTCTAAGGTGTGTGTATACGTGCCGAGAGGATGAATGACACTGAGAGCCTATCAGCTGTCTCTAACGGAAACTTCGAGATACCGGGCGCCTTCTCCTCGTAGCATCGCCTTGTCACGGTAATGTGGGGCTCTACTGTGATTGACGCTGAGTCTACACAGGAGATGGATGTCGAGCTTACGACTCCAACTGACCTCCCTGTAACTTCAGATCAGGAGCGAGAGCTTATCAACTCTCCAACTCCTGATCAAGTAACCGGACTGAGCAATATNGGTGGTTTATAAATGATATTCAAACCATAACATTTTGAAATGATTTTAATTTTGACCCAAAGGTGTTCGAAACCGTGCTCCGAACTCTCAATTATTTCGCTATGAAATTTATCAGTGACATAAATCAGTAAATCTCCACCCCTAGAACTACAATCAGTTGCAACCATTCAACTCCACAGTTTCATCAATAATATAATTATTAAGTCACAACTATAAAACGCTTCTTAATTTTATTTTCGATAAGCCACTTCACATCTGTCAAAGACATCAAAGATTTTACATTTAAGCTTCCTAATCTTAAATTGGTACCAATTTGTAGTAATGGACCGTCGATCTGAGAGCGATCCCTTTATGTCTTAGGGCTATCATTTTATAATAGTGATATATGATAATCTTATATTACCGCAAAAAAAATGCACCCTCCCTTGTATATATGGGATCGTTCAGCCGAAGGGGTCACTTTTCAATTCAATTTGGTACGCGAGAGTTGCTGCCACCAGTTCAGAAAAAATTTGGAATCCGTTCTGATCACACGGATTTAGAATTGGCTTGGTCAACTGGTGATTTTTTTAATTTCCTTTCTGAGCGAACGGCTTGCAAATGTCACCAATTATGTCTTATATGGACTCGGCAACGGCTTAAATGCATGGTCTTTTGAAGTTTTCAGAAAATGTAATAATATCAGCAGGGTTTTCACTATCCAACTTTATTGATAAATGACGTAGGCGGAATAGTTGGATTTACAATTGATAAAAAATTAAAATAACATATAACCATGTTAAATTCCATAAGGGAAAACAAATTTTAAAAAACGAATTTCCCCAGAACGCAGTAGGAAGATCAACCGACCTACTTATGAGTTCGTACACTACTGACTTTTTACCTCAGGTCACCTAAACCCGAATAATCCGCGAATATTCATCAACCCGAAATCATTTCGCGAAATAGTCTCTCGAAATACCTCGTATTTCAATAACTCACGAATTTCCTCACAATTTCAACTGACCTACTTCAGACTTCGTAAGGTACTGACTTTTTCCTTCAAGCCAGCTGAACCCGAATAAACCGCAAATATTTATCAATCCGAAATCACTACGCGAAACAGTGTCTTAAAGTACCTCGTATTTGAATAACTGGCGAATTTCCTCATACTCTAAAGGGAATTCAACTGACTTACTTCTGACTTCGTAAGCGACTACCCTTTTTTTACCTCAAATTAACTAGCCAAATAAAACGTGAATAACTCCCAAATACCGAGGTCGCTTCGCAAAACAGTGAATTGAAATATCTCGTATTTCAACTCACTCAAGAATTTCCCCGGGAACCAACCGACTCAGTCATGAGACCGCGCACGACTGACTCATTTATTTTTGTCTTTTCAAACTTTTTAGCTACCAACTCCTTAGAGGTCTGCAATTTAACATCTCCCAGAAAATTCTACTAATCAAAATAATCGAAAATCATTTCCAAAACTTGTATTCTTAACACTTAGGATAAGTCAGCAAGAATCATCGACAGGTTCCCGCTATTTCTAATGTAGACGTTAAGATGTTACTGCAAAGCTATTTTAATATTTTCTGTCTCGAATGTTACATTTCAGTAGATATGCCTGTCGTTAAAATTAACGATGTTTGTGACCCTGACATCTTAGAAAATGAACTTGGTTTCTTTATTAGATACTTTTAGTTCCTCTTGACAATTATTTTTTATAGGGTTTACAGTGGATACCATCTTTTCGACCCTTTTGAATAACGAGGTTGATTGTTTATTAAATTTCTTAAAACATCGAAGCAGTTAATTTTAAAGATTTTTCTTTCAAGTGGTACTTGTTGACTTCACGATCGTTACTGAAAGCTGATAAACGTTCCCTTCTTCTACGATTCACATGTGTTTCAGTATTCCACATTTTACAAAAAAATAATATAGGTACCTCTATAACGTAAACTTTGTTACACATATACCTATAAAAATATTTGAAAAGTTAGGTTTCGTTTTCCGTTTTTCACATCCTCAAGTGCTACTGATGTTTTGTTTGCCATACTCTTCTAATTACCCTTTTGTAATGGGATCACGTCAGGTGAGCGAACTGTAAATTCCATTGCACCCCTTCGAAACATTCATTTGCTGGGATAGCTTTTAATTAAGGATTCCTAACTTATTCCCAGAGGGTGATATTAAGAGGCACCATTATACTGATAAAATAAATTACATTAAACTTTTTTACCAATAATCACTCATACACATAATTTATATCCCCTTATTGGACGCAGAAGTAACATGGATCCCCTAGTGAACTTGCTTTTAATCAAGACAATACTACTTTCCATCATTTTGTATGCCTTCACTGCCTGGGGCCAGTGCGCAGTTATTTCGAAATTCAATTCAGAATATTCACTTCTACCAACGTTTTTACACAGTAGGATCTAGCAACATGTTGTTGAATTCAACTCAATGTCCATCGAAAAAATTAAGAAAAGTGAACAAAAAATTACATACCTTTTCCAATATTCTCAATTTCGTTTTTGGGCAATTTTGACAATAATTCTCTAACACTCATGTTTGCATCTCCTTGACGTTCTTCATATATCTCGGGCTCATCTTTTCTGCTTTTTTTTTCTTCTCGTTCTTCATTCGAAAAAGTTACTCTTTCACCAATTTTCGCCACTTGCTCATATTCCTGGGCTATTTTATCATGTCTGTCAATACTTTTCGGTACGATTTTTTGATCAGTGAAGTGCTTGCAAGTTACGGTATCTCCTTGTTCAGTTGTGATTTTAAATGATCCTGATGACTGTGCGCGGTTAGCATCAATTGATTTCAAGTTTTCTCTTTGTTTTCCGTCAATTTCCAAGTCCATGTTGAGTGTATTATCTGGATTTGACTTCAAGTAAATAACTGTAGCTGATTTTTTATTGTTATATTCTTTATCGGAGTCTATTATATTTTGAATTAAACTGAATATGCTGCGTAACATTTTTCTATTGGTAGAACATGGCCTGGAAATCAGTAATTGATTTTTATTAGATATAAATAGATAGTGAGAGTCAAAAAACATTTACATTTTTTGATAGCATATTGGAAAAAAGAACAACTGTGCCTTCTTTTATTCACATTTATACCATTTCAATGAATTTTACTCCGAACCTACTCACCAGAAATTTCAGCACATTTTTAATTTTTAATGCTTATTGACAACTAATTTTACATGAAATATGTCAAAAGCAACAGCCACTGGGAATTTTTAAGATTTGTATCTGTATAAACCTCGGAAAATCCAAAGTCGTGGTGTTAGGTACTTTAAATATGCACACTGATAAATATGCACAATACACAATCATTAATATTTTTCAATATTGGTGGTAATTTATCCAGATTATATATTTTCAATCAACAAGAATCAATCTTAATACTTTTCTAGTTTCATTTTTACAAAATTCAGACCTACACCAAACAAAAAGCATACCTACTTGGGAATTCAACAAGTATCGCAATAAAGCACTTCAATGGAGAAAAATTAAAACAGATGAAGTCAAAGGAATAACACAATCATTTAGCCAAATTAGTTGTTTGGAGTACCTCCTACCGAAACTTGTGCAAGCTAAGGACTAACGAAGTCTTACCTTTTAACGTATGATTCCTAACACAGGTGTTAAAAATGACGGTTTGGTGTTGGGATAAAACTCCAGTAGTATTCAGTATTAACATAGTTGAAATGTAATAAGACTAGTGCATCGCATAAGATTAATTTTAATTTGAGTGGAAGATACTGTCCAACTCCATATATCTATTTTAAAGAAGAATATGCACGTCGGATCAAGTTACTCAAAGTACTTTTCGAATCTGAGAGTGTAGTCGAGGATTGCTCCAAGATTTTTTGCTTCTTCCACCAACTCAATATTTTTGCACTGATTGATATTTTTATGAATTTTAACATATCTAGTCATATCTATCGTAATGAAACATTTGATTTTTGAGAGAATAAGAGCAAACAGTGGTCTGTTGCAGTCCTATAAAAATTATTAAAGTCTTTATTAACTATCCTGCAAGGATAATTTACAACTACAGAGGGTGTCATACGCATAGAAGTGTACCTTGCAGTGTTTAAAATAATTAATGAGATTGGAGGAAAGAAGAGCAAACAGGATCGATCCAAGTATAGAGCCTTGTAGTACTCCTCGCTAGAGGGACATAGTCTAGTTCACATGTACTTTTTTTTTGTAACATTTTTCAACCCTGTCTACCTTTTACTGTGCCTGCTATTTTTGCGGGTGAATTGGCTTAAGATGTGGGAGTTGAGCAAACCGGCCATCGGATGCATGATTCCACGTAGCCCCGCTGGATACGAGAATGACAGAATCATTTGTGGTTCTGTTATTCCATAACTGAATGGCATCCCAACGATAGCTTAATTCTAAGGTGTGTGTATACGTGCCGAGAGGATGAATGACACTGAGAGCCTATCAGCTGTCTCTAACGGAAACTTCGAGATACCGGGCGCCTTCTCCTCGTAGCATCGCCTTGTCACGGTAATGTGGGGCTCTACTGTGATTGACGCTGAGTCTACACAGGAGATGGATGTCGAGCTTATGACTCCAACTGACCTCCCTGTAACTTCAGATCAGGAGCGAGAGCTTATCAACTCTCCAACTCCTGATCAAGTAACCGGACTGAGCAATATTCCTGGTGAGGTAATAGCGTGCCCTGGGGTGAAACCAAGAGCATGTCTGGTCATGACAGGAGGGATATTAATTATTTTCTGCCAATAGGCTTCTGCAATCAAGATGTGGTAGCCATCCAAATTTCCCTATCGGACAAGAAGTTTAGGACGAATATTATCGCCTGCTCCGCCTACTTTCTGGGAAATTCGGATACCGTACCTCCTCTAGTTGTTAGACGACTTATCGACTACAGCAAAAGGAATAAACTCCATATTGTAATGGGATGTGACGCCAATTTACACCATACAGCGTGGGGCAGCACGAATATAAACCAAAGAGGTGAGTAACTCTTTGATTATTTACTAAGGGAAGGGCTGTCTGTAATCAATGCAACAAGATACACCATTGGATTGTATCTACTGAACCTTCTTGTTCAGACCATAGATATATTCTTTTCAATATTGAAATAGGTCTAAGACCATTAGTGGAATATCGTGACTCAAAATCTACTGATTGGAGTGGTTATAAAAACTCTCCCCAATCGTACTTTGAGGACGGATTCATTACTATCCACAATTGTGATGATATGGATACAGTAGCGGAGCAATTTCGCGAAGCAGTGATCTCATACTATCACGAGAACTGTCCACTGAGGAATAAAGAGATAACCATAACTCTTCTTGGTGGAACAAAACAAAGAAGTTCGACGTTTATTCAATCGAGCTAAAGAGTCCGGTAACTGGGAGCTATATAAAACTACTCTAACGAAAAACACCAAGGCAATCAGAAAGGCAAAACGGGAGTCTTGGAGGAAGTTTTGTGAGAATATTTCTAATTGACCTAAACAGCACAAGACTTCACAAGATTCTCGCTAGAGCCGACTGCTAAAATTGGGTCGCTTAAACGACCCGATGGAACATTCACGACCTCTAGTAAAGAAACGTTACAGCTTTTGATAGAAAACCACTTTCCTGAAAATCTGACTCTTGATAAAAACAGACCTCCCGTCTTCGAGGGCGCTAAACGCCCAAAAAAGAACGATTGGGAGGTCATCAAGAAGGTTATCACAGCAACGGCAGTTGAGTGGGCTATCGAGTCGTTTCAGCCCTTCGAATCTCCTGGAGAAGATGGTATATTTTCAGCTCTTCTTCAAAACGGACTGGAGATAATTTTACCTATTCTCATAAAATTGTATAGAGATAGTCTGGTGTGGAACTATATACCACCCAGTTGGTTGGAAGCATGGGTGGTATATATACATAAAGTGGGTCGGAAAGACCCACACCCTAATCGGTACGACCAATAAGCATTACATCCTTATTGTATGTATGTATGTATCTATATAGTAGGGAGGATGAATGTATATGTACCCAAAGAACTTAGGCCACATGTGACCCATTGTACATCATCCCGAGGAGTTGGCCTCCTAGGGATGTTCCTGTTCTTTCTAAGGTGGACAGGTCACTAGGAAACATATCCTTTATATCGGCACGTGTAGGCCAAGACTTGCCGAACACACACTCTCATTGGCAACCTTGAGGTATCTCACGGCGGCCTGCGCGAAGGTTTTGGAAGGTGCAGCGACATTACTGTCGTTGCGCGTCTTCTTCAACCTTCTTGGGGTTCCCCTAGTGGAGGTATTCAAGTGAGGGTGTTTTCCTGCAGGGGCAGCCGGTTCCTTGCCTTTATTTAAGGCGGGGATCTTGGCGCCCGCCGCTGTTGCAGGTGGAGTGGGTATTATCTTTGTATATAGACTATTATAACCCTAACAGCTGTCCATGGTGGCATGTTTCGCAAAGGCTTTTGGGGAGTTTAAGTTCCCCTCACCCTATTCATTTCTGCCACTGACCAGGAGTCCGGCGATCCCGTCCGTAAAGCCACATATCGGATTCCCGGACAGATCCCCCTGACCGTTCCCCTATCTGCCACCAGGGGACGCGTCCGATAGATAGCCCAACCTACGGGTACATCCTTCTTGTTGAAAGGACTTGAAAGGATACTGGACGGACACATCAAGAGGGTGGCATTATATGCATCTCCCTGAATAACCACCAATATGCATATCAAACCGGCAAATTATCAGTAGAAATCAATTACCTTCGTGTCGGATGATTTAGACTTAGACAATCTTCAAAATCATTCAGAAAAGTGTCAACATTTTTATCCGGTGGTTTATAAATGATATTCAAACCATAACATTTTGAAATGATTTTAATTTTGACCCAAAGGTGTTCGAAACCGTGCTCCGAACTCTCAATTATTTCGCTATGAAATTTATCAGTGACATAAATCAGTAAATCTCCACCCCTAGAAC